ACCGTCCAGTGTTGATTCTGGAGCACGATGCGTTCCTCGGCATTCGCCTGCTCGCGTTGCAGGACATCCGACAGTAGTGGTCTGCCATGTCGTGAGTAGTAATCCTACATGAAGAGACCAGCAATTTGACAGAAATGATAGAGTCTTGACCTGGATTGTGTGGGTTCAAGGTGTGTAATTGAAATGTGTTCGATTCGTTGCTCCCCTTGGACGGATTCTCGGTCTATATATTTCCATATTGGACCAGTTAATGTATAGGTCAAGTGCCAGTGCTTTCCAGCCGAATGTTTCTGGTACTCTTCGACGTGGGGAAGCGATGGTTAGGGAATAGGGAGAAGAAAAGAACTATGTGGTTAATTCGAGGGAAATGTCCTGATTCTACTCAAGGGGCCTACCACTTCCATCTTAACTTTAATGACTTTGCGAAAAGCTGCAGATTGTGGTTGTAGAGGCGTTGAGAGATGGGAAGATTCATCTCCCTCTCCATTACTCTTTTCTGGCTCTCTACGCAGAACTTCCTATAAGAGGGGTATGAGCTTCCTATAAGAGGGGTATGAGCTTACTCGTTGGCATTTGTCCTTTCTCGCTGGATAATTCGGCAGGAAATCCCCGGCCCATAGCTGCCCATGAGGATGAGCGTTCGAACAGCCGACCGCTGCACCTCGGTTTTCGAAGATCTAAAGGGTCTTTATGGCTAAGGCTACCCTATGGCTAAGTTCATGAATATATAAATACCTGAATCCAGTGGTACTTCTCTTTGAGCTCTCGAAACTGTTCGATCCATACTTTCACGACTCGAGTCACCTATGTTTGATTCGTAGGACATGAAATCTGTTGCCTTTCAGACATGCACCGTAGGCTTGACTCCACAAAGTCCCTACTACTGAAAGTGGCTGTTTCTCGCCTGCACGCCCGAAAAAAATCCCTGAGGAGCTCAAATGATTTCTGATTTATTTCTCCTCCTACAGACATTGAACTAAGGCGTGAACCAGCCACCCGATGCCAACTGGATAGTGCTCACGGCCACCTTAGAGCTGACTGCAAGCGTGACAGACCTCTTCCAAAGTCATCGTGGCAATACTCTGCTTTGTATCCGGATGGTAACAGATTACTCGACATACTCCACGAATCTCCTTTTGACGAAATAGCTCATCCTCTGAAAAGATAGCGCTCAGGTATCTAACAAGAACATAACTGGAAGAGAGAATAATTTCACTGCCAAGAAGAACCCTTTCGGCGGCTCTGACTGAATCACCACTGACCTTCCGCCGAATCATTACCACCGTCCGGGAATTCTGTGAAAGACGGAAAATCGTTGTTGAAGACATATGTTGAGGCGTACTCTGGGGTAACCTAAACACAGGTACTGTATAGCTCTCATTAGGATCATCCGCGAGTTTACAAGGTGTAATCCTCACTACTATTCCACTACCCCTTTTCCTCTAGAAACCCCATTTAACCATGACCTAGGAATCAGCGCGTAAGTTCAGCGCTGCTGGAAGATGAGTAGTCTGGAGTGAATGGCTGACCGAAGCTACAATAAGCCCGAGGCCTCTGATGGGACACGCAAAGGTTCTATAAATGAAAATAAAACTCTCTCCAGTGGTATACTGAAGCTATGCTAGCGGAACAAGGTTGTTTTGCCACCGGTCAAACAGGAATCCGACTCATTGCGAGCACAGCCACGGTGGGGTACGGTATATTCACCTGTACGGTAAACGAAAAATCCTAGTAAGAATATTTGACCAGCTGACCACGTTGTTGAATCGTTTTCCGCCGGGTGCGAGAGAATTTGTTCCAGTTGTCGTTGTGAAGGAAGGCGCATCGGTATTGGCTCCTTGCCAAGGCCTTGAAACTCGATTTGCAGCCACAATTACCCATTCATCCAGCAGTGGGTTATAACGACGATAGTTGTTTTTTAGAGACATAAGGACCTGTAAATTATTGAAAATTCTGTGCATACCGGAAAAATACTATTCATCCTTTCATGTTCATCCCTTTTATCATCTTGCTACATGTGCTATTTCCTACGCCTGTTTACCTACTCGGACCACCTCCCATTGTTAGGCCGATAAAAAATCTGGTCAAATTTTCCGAAAAATCCAGAGCTTTCGGTTCCTCNTTTCCCCCTCAAAACTACTTCGAAGGGCATCCTTCCACACTTTTGGAAAAAATTTAGATTTCTTAGGAGCAGTCTGAAGCTCATCATCGTCAAAGATCAACAGAGACATCTCAACAATGGAGGGACAACTGCGATTTTCATTACCAACAACCCTTTGTTGTATAGCGCCACGACTTCTATTCGCAAAAAGAGAGATGAATTTCGATGATAGGCCCCGATTGGGAGGCTCCCAGATTGTGGAGAATATTCCATCATAACCAGCGCTGGCCAAGTACCATTGGCCATCACACCAGATTGGCTGTAGGACTTGAACGGAACCCACCATTGCCTGCTATAGCCTGCACGTTCCCAGGTAGAGGTGTACTGACAATGAATCCCTCATACACTGAAGGAATGCGTAACACCAGGGATCTGATTCCAGGGGTGATAGTTCATGGCTATGGCGAAGGATGTTTGATGGAGTTACAGCACGCTACGGTAGAGCACATGCGATATCTGCATTCGCATCCCATGCTCACGAATTCAGTTCCTATGAATAGAAAAGGGTCGAACGCATTTGTGAGGGTACCTGATACAGTTGTGAATAGTAACAGTCTTCGGGGACAAGCCAAATGAATTGTAATGAGATGAAGTAGCCAGAATCGGAGATGTCGAGGCATTCTGGCCACCTAGGCAGGAGATAACAACTAGCGTAAGTTAGTTTGTTCATGTATAGAGGGATATCTGTGCATGTCGTCTGATAACCAGTTGGCCGCAGCGACTACCAGTAAACCGTTCGGCTCTAAGCGTCTTCTGTTCGCCTCTGGGCTCCCTCCATCTACGATATAGAGTTTTTGTACAGCTGATTCCTTTAATCCCCACCGTCCCCCTTTCGCTCTCTAGCTCCTCTTCCAACGGTCATAAGGAATTCAGTCTGCAAAACTCAGGGCACCCTGAAATTGATGTACACAGCAACGTAGAAACAACTCTAAGGAAATGTCTGCATAACGTTGTTATGGCAGTATAGTAACCTTTTACCAATTAAGTACGGCAATCGCATAAAATATTTTAGAAATTTGAACAAGGCATATGATTCCGAGGTAAAGAATGACAGAAAAAAAAGTGTATGGATCAGTGTTCTTTATTCAATCACAGATAAATTTCAAACACACTTTATAGCAGAACTATCTCGCCTTAATAATCAAATATGTTAAAAAATCAACACGACAAAGGGAGAAAATTGAGAAGATGGAACATCTAAGCGAATCAAAATTATCGGTAATCATAATGTATGATTGCTTACAAAGGCATGGCTATTTCCCAAAGGACTTTTATAAATTAAGTACATGTCACAAAAAAATAAGTTTACCACTAGATAACATCCTAAAAACCGTGCCTATATAACAACCTGTGCCGTAATCTGACAGATCAACATCATCAGCAACAACAATTAGTTCAACAAAAAAGAATTTATGAAACCGTCTAGCATAGACAAAAACTATTCGTTACCACTCACATCTTTACTTTTAATTGTTTCATCTTCGGTTGCTTTGCCTTGGCTTCTCGTTTCATTTCGAGTTTCTGAAAAAGTTGCTCTTTGTCGCCCGTCTACGAAATAATGGTAAGCGACTTTTTCGAGCTATGCTATTAACACTAATTTAGGTTTGACTTTCAGGATCGGAGCAGAGAACATATGAGTCGCCTAGATTGTCCTCAACTTAAATCCAAAGGATAAAATTAGAAAAAATAATTAGCCCAGAAAACGACAAAAGAAATCACAAAACGAAAAAAAACTAAAGCGGTTCAGGCAAAGAGCAACTGCGCACCTCAAGTCGTCTTTGTTTTTCAGGGTCTTCTTCCTCCAAAAGGCGTTGCTTACGTTCACGGGTCTTTTCTTCGCGACGTGCCTGAAAAATAAATAAGAAAACGTGGAACGCACTTCAATCAGGAGAAAGTGCTTTCTGAGCACGAGCAATTGTGCCTGCCGATCACTCAAGAAACGCATTCTAGGCCAGATATTAATATAGGGGCACGGCTGTTCACCTGAGCTGCTTCCTGCCTCAACTGATGAGTTGTCTTTATGAACGCATCCTCAACCTCACGTCTTCTCTTGTCAGCCTTCTGTTTTGCCTCCTTGCTCATGCGGAATTTCCGTACCTAAGAATATCAAGGTTTTTGTCTGATAGGGGAAACAGAGCCACCAAACACACCTTGTCCACAATATAGAACATTAAATGAAGGAGCTCCGCCTGCGCTTCCTTGTCACGGCACTCGTCCAAGTTCAGGCAGAACTGCACCAATCGAACGACTTCGGGTAGCCGAGTGTAAGTTTCTCCTCTTCAACAACTTATTACTATATCACAAAACTTTTGATAGAGGCTACAGAAGAGAAAGCACATACTCTGGTGGTTTCTGGCCGCTGTACTGGTCGGAGATGTGTACATGTTCAATTGCCTTTTCATATTTTTTGAGAATGGCTACAACTCCTGGCTCAAAGATTGCGTAGGTAGCCTCAGACTGTTCGGCGTAAAGAGCAAAACTGAAAGCACAGATTCACAGAATAAAATTGAACAAAGGAACATCTAACCTCACAAGAGCCTCAAGAAATAAAAGGAATGCAAGGACCAAGAATAATTTACCTCGCTGGTAACCCAAACTGAGATGTATTCTTCTTCTCGACTGTATAGGTAGACAGATCTAGCATCTCCTTATACTGCTTCACAACAGATTTCTTTTGTCCAAAAATCATCACGAAGGAATCCAACTCTCCAGGATCCAACTCCAGCTGCAATATGATATATGCAAAAAACAATCGAATTCGTAACCAAAACAGAGAAATTGGACTCTTTCTGAATACCTTAAATGTAATGACATCCTTCTGTGGTGTGAAGAAGCCCATAATTCGGCTCATGAGGTCTTGACGTTTCATCGTTCGTATCTTAAAAAAAACTTTCGGAAATGAATACAACGTGTCCCCAGGGAATTATTTTAATAATCAGAGAAGAATGATTAGGTCATTCTCGAACTTTCCTGAATACCTACCTGAATAAGCATACCGTTGACGCCAATCCTTCCTGAACACCATACGGTATAGGAACAGTCAGTCTCTCTTTGTACGGCAGCTCCACTCTCTGGATATGCATTCACTCCGTCATCTCCCACCTACAAGCGAATAATGTCGTTCATAGGAAACGCGCAGGGCAATTCAAAGTACTCTCGTCAAAATCACTTCCAATATTTTGAGCACTGACCAAGGCGAACTGCTGTTCAAGGAGACCTCTGACATTATCAAACCACTCTAACGCCATTGATTGATTAGTGTTTCGACCAATGACATAATTAAGTAGGTACATGGCAATCAAGGCCAGGACCAGTGCCTCCACTTGATAGGAGGCCCAGTTAGATCGAAAATGAGCCGGAACCTGTAATAAACGCTTTTCCAAAGACATCATTACTCTTAAAATCATCAATGATTGTCAAGAAAGTTTGTGCAAAAGCCTATGTTCAACCCTTCGCGGCGAGTTACGCTTAGCGCCTTTCTCAGACCTGGCCGTTCAAAAAAGTTCAAAGTAAGCTTAAAAATGCACTTAATTGTATTGTAATTCCTGTAGTCATGTGATAAGTCAAAATAGTCGAACAATCCATGCGATCCAAATTTCCAATTAACTACAATACGGCTACGAAGTAATACGAGCTAAGCCTTACATCGCAATTTATATGCAAATGTACTTGGGCAGGCATGCATTAGTTTGCTATGTCTCGCGCTGTCAAGGGTCATATAGGAGGGTAACGCCAAATACTACCGCTATCCCATCACATATCCGGGGCAATGACCAAAACAGGGATACCCCTAATACGTCTGGTAGAGTAAGGAAAGGGTTCCTCTGAAGTCGCGAAAAGACCCGGAGGAAATGGCAGTTTGGCATCCAGAATTTAAATAGGGTCAGTTCAAAGAACTGTTTCTCTCGAATTCGTCGGCAGAGTCGAAATTGGAAAGAACGACACAGTAGGACGAAAAAAACTTACGTCGGCAAACTTCAACGGCTGCACTGGCTGTTGCTCGTCTTCCTTTTCTTTTATTTCATCCTCATCCTCCACTACTCCGTAGTCGTCATCGAAATCCTCTGTCTTCTAGAATGAATCACTAACAGAGCTAAAGAAAAACTGCTCTGAAATTCCTCTAAAAACGCCAAGAAACAGCTGATCATAGCTTCCTAGTCATAGTAATTAATATTTTGCTCTAAATTTCCTACGTAACCAACTATCAACCTAAGTAGATGCTAACCTGCTTCTGAACTTCCTCTTTTTCAACTTTCTTATCGGCGCCATGAGCACTAGGCTGTGGTTGTTCAGCCTCCTCAATCTCCTCATCCTAAACATCACTGAGAACTTGACAAGAACTGCTCACAGAACTCAGGGGAAAAGATGTGATCGATTGACACTTACTTCAAATTCAGCGAACTCGTTATCCTCTGTTTCTGATGGAGTAGAGCCACCATAACAGCTTGATATCAGCAATATCAACGCGAGAGCCGCTAATAACCTCATCACTGTTGCTTATACCCAGGGAGTAAAACTATAATTATATGACAAGCATTGAATACCGGAGGTTTTACACGAACGAGCGATTGTACAGAAGAACAACAAAAAAAGAACTGCAGCGCAAGTTTATATTTCACCTGTAGAAGATAAAGCTAAAGTTTTCTGTAGACCATGGCAGCAAAAGCTATTTGAAAGAACTCTATGAAAGGTAAAGATATTTACAAGAAGAATTGTAACCACTCACAAATATTTGCAATAAATAAGCGAATCAGCAAATAAACCAGCATTATTACATCACGGAAAGAAAATTTGAAGAAATGGAACAGAAGACCAACCAACTGGTCATGTCCTTTGTTTAAAGCTCTGCTCATAGAGGAGCCTAGAAAGCACTGATATGAGGCCCCAAAAATTTTGTCATACGGTATCGTGCGAAAGACGCAGAGACTATGCGTACTATCCAATTTTTAGCTCTACAAATGTCCCCGGGCACTGGCAAGCCTATACAGTCCCTCACTCTAGATTTCTTCTTTATTTCAGTTGTGTTTTCTTAGAAAAGAATAAACTACTCCTTAGTGGACAATACAGACTCATTTCCTTCGCTTAGATGCCTGTTGCAATTACTATATAGCCAATAAACCACTTGAAATTCTGATTCTTGCTCTAGTTGGCTCTTACTCTAGGTTTATAGCTTCTATTATATGGTCAGTCTGAGGTGTTGGATTAGAGTTTCTAGCTGGAAGACTTCCTGGCTTTCCTTTTTAATGCAAACCATAATGTGTTGAGCCTTCAATATTTTTCGTTGTTGCAGGTTTTATGTCCACTGCAGAGGCCGTTACAGAGGCCACTGTAGTGGCTGCTCCAGAGCCCACTGCAGAGGTCGTTACAGAAACCACTGCAGAGATCGCGGCAGAATCTACTGCAGAGACCACTACAGAGAAGCCTGCAGAGACTGCTACTAAGACCACTACTGAGACCGCTGGAGAACGAAAGACCAGTGCACGGCCCTCCATGGATCCCTT